CTCACATATAGTGTACCGTAAATATAGTGTTCGATAGAGTGGGAAAAGTGGATCCCGTGACCAGAGGTCTGCAAATAGCTGTCAATTGGATCGGTCTGGACGTAGACGTGAAGTTCTGGTCACAACACATCTCATTCATATTGGTTGGCATTATTGTCATCACTTCCATCAGAGGCCTACTCATAACACTCACCAAAGTATTGATTATTTCTGACTATTTTGTGGCTTTTATGCCATCAAATGTGTAGCAAAAAGTAGATTTTAAGGTCTCAACTAAACATAAATATGTTTTCATTGATTTTTATTGAGTTTAATTTTAATGTTTTGCAATATACAGTAGACATTCGGTTTTGACACTTTTACGGTGCTGTTAAAAATGTGTGTTAAAATCGAATTCTGTCAAAATCGGATACTTTAACAGTACTAATATCGCTCGTCGGTGCTAACAAAATGTTATGTTAAAACCGAATTCTGTTAAAATCGCGCCTGTCAAAACCGAATGTCTACTGTAAATGCTTATAACAGCTAATCATTAAGAGTAACATTTCAATGAAAACAATTATTTAGTTGAGATGTTAAATGAAAGTTATTGATTTGAAATAATTGCTAACATTTACTGCCATCACATTGAATATGAATACTAAATGTAAATTGTTTGCTTTGCAATAAAAACAGTTCTTTTACGCGATCTCATCGTCGAAGTCGTCAAACATAATAGTGTTGGCTTTGGCGCAGATAATGGGCATGTATTTTGTCTCATCGGTGGTACTGATACGCATGAATATGCCTCTGGAGTACCGGACGATTATCACCGAAGTGTTGGGCGATCTTCAGTTCAATTTCTATCACCGATGGTTTGACGTCATATTCTTAGTGAGCGCCCTGTCGTCCATAGGCTTTCTCTATGTGGTCCGAAAACAGGTGTCAAACAATCCAATCGATTAATTCATTAATTTAATTATAGTTATAACTAATTATTACATTTGAATTCAATTAATATATATATTTTGAATACCATTTTTATATTTATTTATTTTGTTTCTCATATCAGAAATAAATACAATTTTTGAACCAAAGATAAATATGTTTTTTTCAATTGTTATGCGATATAAATGTGTGATTAGTTATTTAGCTTTAACTCATTCGTTGACTGCGTTTTGCAGACTATTTGATAAGACAATAGACATTGTGTTTGGAGTTTGTTTGGCAATAAAATTACTAGACATATACCAAATACCAAAGACCTCAGTATTACATAATCTAATTACGAGTTCATATACACTGTCTGTTAATACATGTAATATGTTTTTTGTTTGCAGTAACAGAAAAGCAAATAATAACTGATTTATAAATATTTTTATTAGTTTTCTGTCTACTAATTATATAATCATAACAAAAATAACCGAATCCACTGCTCATGTGATTTAAACATTAAAAATATATTAAAATAAAATAAAAGGTAATCCAAACGTATGAATAGTAAGCGCTCTCTATATAGAGACCGTATATACAAGCGTTATATAAGAATACGAGCGGAGATTGAAATGTCTGGTGCTTTACGTCGAGGAGTTTATTGACCCAATAATGCCGAGACTGCTATACAAATCCAATGTCTCGATCACTTTGTGGATGCGTTTCTATTTACACAACAGTCTATTTGATAACATTACGTCACGTCATATATAAAACTTAGATTCTCTCTCTATTATAGAGGGTGTACTGTATATCGATGTCTACCCCAAAGAATTAGAGCACTTG